TTCCCGCTTTTCGTTTACCGATCTCTGTGTCGAGCTCTAAATATAATGTTCTCCTGAAACATTGGTGGCTTCTCTCCTGATGCTACCATGCAGTCGGTGTCCTCACCCCGGGCATGTTCAATTGAGATTCCCACCCTAATCGGACTGATCATGTATCTGGTTAGCTAGTGTGAAGGCCCGTAGCCTGTGGTCAAAATTTCGCATGGCGAGGCTCGCTCGAAATTTCAGTGTCTCGGCGTAAATGTGCGTTGTGAGGCCCGCAGTACAACTCGTGACCGTGAATACATTCTGCTTAAAAGGTTTGTCCTCTTTTCGACATGTTTTGATGAAAGCTCGAGGAGTGTTTTCTAGCAAGTAAGCAAGTCTTTTGATGCGGCGTTTCCCTCTTGTCTTGCTGATTCTGCAAGCATGCTTTGCGTGGGGGGATTTTACAATAAAGAATAAATCTCTTCGCTTCAATGGGATTTATGTGCCCAAAGACAATACTAAGTGGCTTGAATTGCTTCGGAGTATCGAGCCGATTTTGATGTCGTTATAGAATTCTTAGGCTGTACAAGTTTCCATTTGATAGTTTACATAGATCATAGGCTGGTCTGGGCTCGCGCTGTGAAGGGCAAGACTATTAAGGACAATCCTTATTTGGTATGCTTGAACGTCGAGCCATTCGACAGTGAAGACGCGCTAATCTATTTAGATAAGTCCAAGGCTTTGAACACGGTTGACCATCGATTTCAGCAGTCTGCCCTTTCCGCCGACGTAATTTCGCACCTGAATCCGGTGCGCGCTGGTGGAAGTGAATGGGGTTCAATCAGAACTTTACGTATTGTCTTGCTCCCTTAGTCAATGTTTTCCGCTTTCGCCCTTCCTTTAGGTTCTTGCGTTTGAACCTTTCCATCGCAAGTTAAAGACGAATCCGGTCCTACGCGGAATTTCCCTACCTGATACTACCACCTCGACCCGGTATTCTGCCTATGCTGACAACGTTTCGGTTTTTGTGTCGAGCAGAGCCGAGATATACGAAGTCAGCAAAGAAATCAGAGAGTACATAATAGTAACAGGGGACAAGATCAACTGCAATAAATCTGTTGGATTGCGGTTGAACGCGTGAATGGGAATTTCTCTTCATGGGACTTTCTTCTGCACGGACGAGCCGGTCAAGTTACTCGGCATCTGGGTCGGTTCCGATCTCCTCTTGGCAATGAATTGGTTGGGGGTCTGTCTGTGGTCTTGGAGGAATCTTTGCTTAAAGGGGAGGGCGGAAGTATATGCCTCGCATATATATTCGATTCTCCTCCTGTATACCACACTAATGGGTTTAGTTAGTCTTGTTGTTCTTCCTATGGAGAGGAACGACTCCCAAGCTATATCGGGAGATCTTTTACCGCCACCCTTCTGGCGGCAGTCTGGGTATGCATAGCGTTAATTTTCGCCAATATACGCTTCGCATCGCGTTTCTAGAATGAATGTGTTCACAAGTGGACGGTGAGGGCGAATTCTATGAGGAATACGCCCATAAGGACTTCCCATCCTTGTGAAGTGTGCACTCGCGCGAGGAGCCACCACCACCAACACCGTTTACCCCGAGGCGAGTGCTCCTTCTATCATGAATGTCCGATTGGTCTCAAACACCTCTTACGGCCGATAGATAGCCTCTCAGACGTCTAGGCGTTGTACGACGCGTTTAGGGGATCTCTTCAAGATGATCTAATAGGCAATCTCGGTCTTACGAAGCAAGAATCTTGCTCCATATGGCCATGGGCGCCCTGGTTGAAATTTCCCACAAATGATGAGGCATCACTCACTTGGCTGGTTATACGAAAGGACCGATGGGTCGGCAAAAAACTTTGGCGGGCTTGGAAAAGTTTCCAAACTGCGTTCAACGTAGTGAGTCGGTGGAGACCTGGGGTTACCCTTTCTTCTACTGTAGGGTCGTAGACCCGTTGTGCAAGTTTATTGGAGGTATCATGTTTCGCATGTTGCGCGGAAAGTTATTTATCCTCGAGTCCAGTTTGTAGCAATGTGGTTAAGCCGTTGACTAAGGATGATCCCTATGATTTCTTTTGTTTGCTAGGCGTTGTGTGAGTTGTGATATGAACGTCTTCCTAATCGATCTTGTACTTTATGCATCAGCTGAAATTTAAGATTAGCACGGAAAGGCGACGAATTTGAAAAAGGTGGCTGAGTCTTGCGTTTCAATTTCGAGTGAAAAAAGCTGACTTGGAGTGGCATTTTAATATTGGCAACTCTGTATTGAACATAGGCAAACCCGCCCAAAAGAGCGCATTTTATGTTTGTTTTATCCTTATCCCATTAAGTTAACTTAGCTAGGGGGATGTATCTCATTGGCCTCTTTTATTTCTTTCCTCCCCTTCTTTAGTTTAATTTCCCCTCCCTTCCCCCGTTAAATGACGGTAATGTTAGTTCTCTGGTAGATGCTGAACGCTTTTCGCTTGTTGAGTGTGTATGTCGTATTTGTTTTTGTATCTTGATGAGTGTGTGTTAAGTGAGTGTTTGGTCGAGTAATTGTACTTAATTACCTCGACCCGCATTAATTTCGTCAATTTAACTGATTTTTTGTTACAATTAGGGATCGGGGGTATTACTAACTATAATTTGTTTACTTTCTTGTATACAAATTGTATTCATTGTAAATATTCATAGGGGTTTCATTTTTATGTTATTTTTATCCCTGACCCTCATAGACCAATTGCCCATATAGGGAGTAGTTACGACTACATAGAGAATTAGCGGTATTACGGTGGCTGTGTTGTTTTGGTGTAACGAATACTGTGGTATGTTTTGATCAGTAATCGTGGCTAGCTAAGTTGAAGATAAGACAGATTAAAAACCATCCTTTTGACCTTTTGACCTTGTGCCACATTTTTTTTTATTATAACAGAATAAACATTGAGAAGAAACCAGACCAAACTGTGTTGACGTTATTATTACGCCCGCGCCTTACCAAGCTGTGACGCAAGGAACTAAAATACAGAAGCACTGTGTCTTAAAACTGACTCCCAAAAATGACAGGCAAACGAATTTAAAAGTCAGATGCGCTGATCTTTCAGGACTGATCCCAGCAAAATTGAAAGTAGGTAAATGCAGAATAACACCGGGTTTTTTTCAAAAAGTAGCACACAATAAGGTGGCAATCCTGTTTCCGATACGAAACAATTCGTAAGAACCACTGAGTGGAAGATGTGTCATTAATATGAACGCAAACTAATTGAAGACCAGATTTAAGTCTCGTAGTCTTTACTCAGTCGTTTCTAAACTCAAGGGAAATTGGAAATGTCCATAAAAAAAAGGAATAATGGTAAGCGATTAAAAGATCGACAGAAGGAAACAAAAAAAAAAGAAGAAAAAAACAGAAGTGAATTTTACTTGCAACAGACAATAAGTCGAATCAATTGAAAACGAAACCTAAATGATCAGATTGATGGTTGGACATATCCTCTGGAGAATGTCCAATAGCTGCTCTCACTCTTTGATAATGGGTTTCGACCCATTTTTCTCCCTTCTCGATGGTCATTTATTGAGTACTATTATTCGTGGTATGAATTCGCGTGTAATGGCTTACAGATTTATACACTGAATTAGTTCTACTTGGACACACAGGGTCGGCTGCGCAGTGAACAAAGATGGGTAATCAATAAAAACCAGAAGTTTGTTTGCCTAGTATAATTAGTGACCTTTATCAAAACTGCCGGCACAAATGGTCTCTGCTGGAATTGGTATGGTAATCAGCTCCCCCTTCAAATACTCTCTCTCTCTCTCTCTCTCTCTCTCTCTCTCTCTCTCTCTTTCTCGCTCTCTATTTGTCTGGCGATCTAGCACGCTATCTATCTAAAGTTCTTTTTATGCATCTAACCAAATATATAAATGTGTTCTAACTTGAACCAAACAAATAATGAGAAATCATTGTATTTTTTGTTTCATATCAAACACGGGGGGGATATGTGGGGGAAGTGGATGGAAAAGTAGGAATTAAAAATACTGAAAAGAGATATAACGGAAAAAGAATATATACATTTTAGCCGATGAAGCCATAGAAATATTTTTTTTTTTAAATCTCATGCATTATTCACTTAAAAAAAAAAAAACATGTTTATATAAAAAGCCGAAGAAACCCGAATAATACACAGATAATTATTTACTTAGACTAAAATAAACGCTTGAAGGGATGTATCGAAAGAGATGATTACCTGTTTTTTTTTTTATCCTTTCATCCGAAGCAAGGTGATAAAGCCGCTAAGATGGAAGTTTTTTTTAATGATTCGTTTTCTACGGCTTATCAACCTTTTGCAAGTTATTTAAGGCCAGAAAATATTTTTTAAATTGTAAGAATTTGGGAGTAAATAAATTAGTGATACAAGCCCTAATAATTAACCCATAGTTGGGGAGAGAAGAGGCTGATTCATACCTTTCTCAAGGGTATTTGCCCTTAAGTAAATATAAATGGAAATGGAACTCACCATTCCATAATACACTTATGTTTCATGGTGGCATTCAATGCACAATGGTTTGCTGATTCCTTTTGCATCGGGGGTGTTGAGGTTACCCTGTCCATCCTATCAAAGAGGGAGAACCTAAAAGTCACCAGATCAACGCTATAGGGCCCAGTCTCTCCTGCTATTTACACATAACTGGGGAAAATAGATAGATCATACCTTTCCTAAGGTATGTAAATGAATGGAATGAACTCAGCTGGAATTCGAACTCGGCTCTCCGTTTCTTCAATTTCAGTTGCTATCCAGCGTCCTACCACGCAGGTTCTTTAAAGCGAGAAAATATTTTAGATTGTAAGATTTAAGGGGGAGATAATAATGACTTGGTGATACAATTCTTACTAATTACTCCATAGATGGGGGTACAAGAGGTGGATTAATATCTTTCCCAATGATATTTGCGCCTAAGTGAATATAACGAATTTGACTCAAATTGGAACTCCGCTCTCCGATTAACAATTCCGAGTTATTATCCATTACACCAACCGCATATCCTGGTATTCCCAAGCGGTCACTCATCTAGGTACTGACCAGGATCGATGTTACTTAACTTTGGTGATCGTACGGGAATCGGTGTTTCAACGTGATATGGCCGTAAGCCTAAGACGTAATAGCTTACTGAGAGTAAAAGAAACCATGAAGGTGTTATTGAGGCGAAAGAACAAAAAAAAGAATAGGATTCAATGAGACAGATGGTAACGATTGACATTCTTGAAGCTTGGAGTTAAGAGGAACGCAAGATATCAGAAAAAATGTTCCACACTCGAGAATTGCGAAAGAAGAATCCTCTAGAATAGAACTTGCCGATACCTTTATAAATTTCAACAATAAGAGAATGATTTGCTAATCTCGTACTACGCTAAAATTCGTGTTGTCCACGTATCAGAGAGGAAAGCAATAATTATTTTGATAATACAAAATGGGACACAAGGCTAAAACTCACCAAATTCTTACTTAGCATTTTTAATACAGCCACCATAATACCTCAAAATCTATATGAAGTCCTAAATAATTCCTATATGTTTAATTTGTATGTGGAGGTGGAGAATAAAAAAAACGTTTTTTGTTTTTTTTTAAATGAAACCCCTAGTGAATATTTACAAAGAAAGGAAAGCTTATCAAAACAATTACCATTAAAATATTTATTGAAATTGCACAAGGAAGCTATCTTATGGCGCTTGGAAAAAGACTGAAGCAGAGATGTCAGGACAGGACTGATAACATAGCAAATTTTTCTATGGATTTTGTTAATCCATATCAGAAGAAAGAGATCTTAAATTATTACTGACCAATTATTTTTTTTTATTACGATAATATTCACTTGAATAAATAATTGAATGGATAGCGAGGAAACTTTTGCCTGAACTTTTCGTTTTTTAAGTATAATATGAAGTCATAAAATGTCTCCAAAATTTTGTCTTTGCTGCTGTGTGTTTTAGGTCAATGAATCCAAGTTCATGAAGTTTTTAGTGAGTTTTTTTCAGCAATTATTTTTAGTGAGGTTTTTTTTTCTTTATCTTTTTTTTATGGCGTTTATTTTCTTTCTGTCATAAAAGAAGCATTTTTTTAGTTTGGTTTGTTGTTGAATTAATCTGAAAAGCTGCAGTCAAACTATACACATGTTCACCAAAACATGATTTGTCATCATGAGTTTTTCTAAAAATCAATTGTCAGCTTAGATACGAAACATACGCAATATTGATTTCTTTTTCAAAAATCAAGGATCAAGGGATACATGAAATCGACTTATACACGTTTATATACGATTATCTCAAATCTATCGATTGTAGTTATTCATATTGATTACATAGATAGATAGATAGATATAGCACTATGGCTGCCTGGCGTTTGTTTACATTCGTAAAATTAATACGTTAGAATTTCCCTTTCTGCCGTGCGCTGATAGTTCATAGGTAGAAACTCCGACTGATGCCAAAATCTTTCGGTTTTCGATCCCGGCTTGAAGCAATCGGATATCTAGCCGCACTGATGAGCTGTGATACAGCGAAACAGGCCTGTATGTGGATGGCATTTTATATATAATGTCATCCATATACAGGCCTGTTCCATTATATATATATATATATACATATATATATATATATATAACGCTATTCCCATGGAAAGTGCTCATACCTAATATATTCCTTAGTTCCACCAGTTCTAACTTTGGCGTCTAAGAAGCACCATTCTCTTCACATTGCTGCGAATCTCTCTCATTCACTTCTTGTTTCATTTGAGAGATGTAAGTTCCACTCCATCAGCTTCTTCGCGCAAACCGCTGCTCTGTGGAACCGACTCCAATAAGGATGTTTTCCTGATCACTACAATCTTAACTTGTTCAAGTTTATGAATCATATAGGCCTTTTTCCCCGTACATGATAATACAGGAACACGTTACTCTCCTTACACGACAATACATGACGATATTATAGGGTCGCTCAGGAAATGATTATAGAACGTTTTGCCGCGTCCTCTTTCCCTCTCCTGGCCTTGCTCCAACTATCATTTTTTCGGACCATGAAAGTCGAGTATAACTCAAGGTCGAGTAGCAAAGGAAATCACGTGTACATGGACTAAACACTGCTCATATCCCATCAGCACTTCGCCTCAGGCTCCAGTTAATAACAACACACAATATATTTTTGAAAAGGTTAAAAGGGGAAAAAATACGGCCAAATAGATTGGATTATGTTATTAATAATGAAGAGAGATGTTATCTTGATTGAATATATAAAATTCAGACTAGAAATTATTTCCTATCTGTAAATGCGACCTAACAGCAGAAACAAAATAAAACAACTGGCAGTTAAAACCCGCTAATATGTCACCTTTCTTCTCCTTGTGATGTCATGCAGACATTTTAAATAAACCTTAAAACTACTAAATGTATTACTATTAATGTGCTACTTCTCCTGTATTCGAATGAGTTTTAAATCTGTATTTTAGTGTAATTAATTTATAACAGCTCTCACGATGCCATATTTAATATAGAATAATATCCTGGATCGATTTAATATTTGAGTTAAAAGAAAATCGATCCATCACTTAAGAGAAATCAATAGCAATCCTCGAAGGATCAGTTTAATACCACAATTGATAGTAATCTTTAAATCTGTTATGATGACAAAAATCAAGTTTAGTACTTAAAGTATATATTCATTTTGCATTCAGAAATGACAAATCGATTATAATATTGAAAATCACTTGTATCCTGAAATGATAGTCGAGTTCACCATCCACTTGATGTCATAAAAAAATCGATTTGTCAAATATAATCAATTTCGGCGTTCAAAGAATGACAGAATGGACCATGCATCTCAGAAATATGCACCACATTCGAATTTTCTTTAATTATTTCAAAACGGCACTATTAAATTGTAGTAGAATATCATGGCGTAGCTCGGGATTTCGATACTATTGGTAAATCGGTTACTATATTAATAACAAGTGTTTATTATCCGTTTTGACTGTCATATACTCGCAAGTAATAGGAAAAAAGTACAAAGCAAATTTTAGAAACATTTTAAAATTATATTATGACTAGTTTTTCTCTCACTATATTTTTGTTTATTTTTATCTCAACACTCTGGTCGTTTTTACATTCTACTGCTATTATGCAAGCAGATAGATCGAAAAAAATAAAAGTCTGATGAAAGTTGAACCTAATTCTTCTATTCTTGCGACCACGCCTGGCTGGAACAATACGAAAGTTAATATTATTCAAATTTAGTCGTATACTTATATTCCTCTTTTCATTTGTACGCCATATTGTTCGTTTACACCAAATAGCAGTAATTTCTTAATTTGTCCGAATTTCTGGAATAATGCATTGCTCTTTTGATGTTTTGATCACTTTTTTAAAGTGTTGTTCCGTTTATTACAATGCTCAGTTCGTTTTTGGAACTATTCTTAATATACTTACATTGATATATATATATATATATATATATATCTTTTTCTTCGTTGTTCATTAAATAATATGGCTTTATTTTACAAACAGGTATTCCATCATTTCCCGCCAACTCACATATAATGAAGGCATTTAAATTAGAAACCTTATCCATGTAGTGGTTAATAGTTGACTTGTTCTTCAGTTTTTTAAAATCTTATTTATACCTCAACAGCATCATTCACGGCACGTACTCAATTATTATAATTATTTAATTGAAATAGTTAAATAATTATAATAATTGAGTACATTACACTTCTTAAACGACAAACTTATTATATATCAACCTGATGTGCAACTCGAAGTGCGTCTATAATTTTTGCAATAATACAATAACAATTTCCTTTCTTCTTCTTCTTCTTCTTCTTCTTCTTCTTCTTCTTCTTCTTCTTTCGTCATGTTTCTTCTTTCGTCATATTTCTTATTTCCCCATCTTTCTTCTTTTTATTCTTCTTTTTTCTTTTTTTTTTTTCCTTCCAGCGTACCTTCAGGACATTTGAGATCATAGCTGTCCACAATTTCTTTTTCCTTTGTAGCTCTTAAAAAATTTCTGTCTTTTTATTATCTCTCTTAAATGATGTTCTACCATTCAAGCTCTCTAGGTATGTTATTGTCATGGGTCCTTACCTATAACTACAGAATGAACTCTTCCTAACACTATGTATACTACGCCTCTCAAGAAAGAGGGACGAATCAAGCCGAGCTTCTCGACTTGACGGTCGAACTTTCTGCCTCTGAGCAGAAAGGAACCCGGACGAGGTTCCGCCGAAGGGCAGAATCTCGTTCGGGGTGAAATGAACTATCCGATCTCGGCCTTGTGCCACATGCAACCCTCGTGGGGCTAGATACCGAATCGAGTCGAGCCGTTTCGGCTTGACGGTCGAACTCTCTGCCTCTGAGCAGAGAGGAACCCGGACGAGACTCCGCCGAAGGGCAGAGTCTTGTTCGGGGAGGTTGACCAACCCGATTCTGTTTTTACAGTTTCTACGGGCATTTTTTTGGCCGAGACTACGGGCTCGGAAAACCCACATAATACTCAGCCTTGTGCCACATCTTTCCCTCGTAGGGGTCAAGTAAACATCGAATCGAGTCGAGCTGATAGTAGTTCACTCCAAACCAGACTGACAGTCATACTAACACCTTCCACATCTTGTATTATTATTTCGTGTAACATACCTTCGTTATTTCTACTCTTGTGTCCGTGTTGTTCTTCCTTGGTCCTAACCTGGACCATAACAGTTATGCATTATTTTCTTCTGCCATGTGAGTGTTAAATTTTCCAAGCACTCTTTCCCTATTATGTGCTCTAGATATTTCAGTTGTCTCTTTAAGCATAAGTGTCCTTCTTTGTTTCCATTTTCCCTAAAACTTCGTCGTTTCCATATATTCCATTAATAGTATTCTCAATATCCTTCTGTAGAACCATGTTCTGATTTATTATAAATGTTTATTCTATATATCCTTTCAAAACTTATATAGTCATGTCTCTCGACAACTTCCTTTTCTTTAATATAGCTTTATCGTTGGTTTCCTGATTAAGTTTGGGTTTATGGTTTCTTCAACTTTATACTTCTAAAATCTCCGCCAAAACTCTGAAATGTTATTTATTTATGTTCTTCCTTCATTAGAATAGGTTCACCTATCAT